AATGAAAAGGGCGGGACGCCAAGAGAGAGAATAAACAAAAACAAACGGTTCCTCCCTGACGGGTCGCGGGGACGTGGATTGGACGTCCAGATCGCATCCGATTTGTTTCATATTGGATGCGAATAGGACGAGCTCGATCGATCCACAATCGATCCAGGTAGCATCCACAAAGTCCACAATGATGTCCAAACAACGTCTTAAACACGTCCAGAGCACATCCAGACCATCCACAACTGCGACGTATCCATTTCTCATCCAACCTATCCACATGCAGTCCAAAGTGCATCCAACGCTCTCCTTGCGCATCCAAAATGTGTCTAACGGAGCCAGATCGCATCCCCGGCATCCACTGCGCATCCAACACACATCCTGCACATCCAGAATGCATCCGCCAGATCCGAAATGCATCCAAACCACATCCAGCACATCCCGAACGCATCCAAAAAATATCCATCGTATCCAGATCGTATCCATTTCACATCCAAGGTGTTATTTGGATGTGATTAGGGCCTATTCTGGATATGATGGATGACTCCTTTACTCTGGATGAGCTGGACGACCTCCGGATGCGGATGGGATGGATCTTTCTTGTAGCCTGTCGACTCGTCGTGTTGATGTTGCCTGGATGAGTGACGAACTTCTCGAAACTGGTGAGCCTTTACCGGGAGTTGAACCTGGTACCTTCCGCATACTAGCCAACAACTTAAGTCACTCGGCCACCACATCCTTGTTAGAGGAGCAAGAACAATAGGTACTCTTAAACTTCACGCGAGGTATGGTCCACACAGCATCCTCGTTAAGTCCAGCTCGTCCACAGGCATCAACCGTCCAGACAACATCCACAATCTCCACTTGGCTTCCGAAACCACCAGGACATCTGGAGTGCGTCCTAAACTTATCCAATGCACATACATCACATCCTGACCGCATCCAATGCACATCCGTCACATCCTGAACGCATCCAATGCACATCCAACACATCCTGAACGCATCCAATGCACATCCAACACATCCCGAACGCATCCAATGCACATCCATCACATCCTGAACGCATCCAATACACATCCAACACATCCTGAACGCATCCAAAGTGCATCCACAACATCCAGATCACATCCAAAGTGCATCCACAACATCCAGATCGCATCCAAAGTGCATCCACAACATCCTGAACGCATCCAATGCACATCCAACACATCCCGAACGCATCCAATTCACATCCATCACATCCTGAACGCATCCAATTCACATCCATCACATCCTGAACGCATCCAATGCACATCCATCACATCCTGAACGCATCCAATGCACATCCATCACGTCCTGAACGCATCCAATGCACATCCATCACATCATGAACGCATCCAATGCACATCTATCACAACATGAACGCATCCTATGCACATCCATTACATCCTGAACGCATCCGCTACACTCGGATCGCACTCAACGCAACCAGATCGCACTACGGATGCGATCTGGATGTGGTGGATGCACTTTGGATGTGGTCTGGATGTGGTGGATGCACTTTGGATGCGGTGGATGCACTTTGGATGCGATCTGGATGTGGTGGATGCACTTTGGATGCGGTGGATGCACTTTGGATGCGATGTGGATGTGGTGGATGCACTTTGGATGCAATCTGGATGTGGTGGATGCACTTTGGATGCGATCTGGATGTGGTGGATGCACTTTGGATGCGATCTGGATGTTGTGGATGCACTTTGGATGTGATCTGGATGTTGTGGATGCACTTTGGATGCGATCCGGATGTTGTGGATCCACTTAGGATACGATCTGGATGTGGTGGATGCACTTTGGGTGTGGTGGATGTACTTGGGATGCGATCGGGATGTGGTGGATGCACTTTGGATGCGATCTGGATGTGGTGGATGCACTTTGGATGCGATCTGGATGTTGTGGATGCACTTTGGATGTGATCTGGATGTTGTGGATGCAATTTGGATGCGATTCGGATGTTGTGGATCCACTTAGGATACGATCTGGATGTGGTGGATGCACTTTGGGTGTGGTGGATGTACTTGGGATGCGATCGGGATGAGGTAGATGTACTTTGGATGCGATCTGGATGTGGCAGATGCAGTATGGATGTGGTAGATGCAGTCTGGATGTGTTGGAGTGGCTTGGATGTGATGTGGATTATGAACGTTTGGATGTTGTGGACTTCATCTGGACTTTAGGTGTCTCGTGGATGTGTTGGACTTGACGGAGATGTGGTGTTGCAGCCCAGTCACTTTTGTGTGGATGTTGCGGATGTAATGTGGACCCCTTGCGGATTCATGTGGACGTGGTGGACGTGAATTAGATGTCAGTAGATCTCCTGGATGTGTCGGATGCTTAATGGATGATCCGTCTGCGGCTGCTCGGGATGAAGTGGACGCGATCAGGATGCCGACTGGAGTAATGCTCGAAATGTGGATTGGCGCGGACTTGCGTGGACGCGGGGTGGACGCTAGGTGGATGCAACAGACACGAAATGGACCTAGTTTGGATGATGTGAGCTCCAAATCACATCCCAGCGACCCGTCAGGGCTCGCAGGAAACTCATGCGGAAGAAAAAAAAGTTAGGAGAAAAGAAAAAAAGAACGGCGAACAGCGCCACTGACACATAGAGGGAACAGAACACGAAGTTCCCAGGGCAGTCTGAGGCAGTCTGTGCCTCACGGAGGGGTCCACTGCAGGAGGCCGGCAGCCGGTGGGGCCGGGGGGAGGGGGGGGGGACGAGGACAGGCGCCCTGGCCCACGCGCGGACCCGCAGCGGACGAGGGCAATACCGGTAAGAATGAAAATAAGACCTGCAGTTACTGCAGCGTCGCTGGGGCCGTCCGGGGAGGGGCGCCGGAGGGCCGGCGGGGCGGGCAGGAGCCGGGGGTCCGGCGGGGTGGGCCGCCGGGCCGACAGGGCGGGCAGGACCAGCAGAGCGGGCGCAGCCAATTGGCTCCCGCCGCATTAATCCTTTTCATAATCTAATAAAACGTCCAGAAAATTTAAAAAAATTATCGTGGAAATTTTCCGTAAACGACTAAAACATAAATTTGCAACAATCAAGCACCCTTATCCGTTCACATTTCCTAGAAACGTTTCGAAGAAAAAGTGTGCCACTCCTCAAAACTAAACCTCCTGCCTCATCAAAGTGATAAGAAATCGTCTGTCTTCTGAGAAAATGGTTAAAACATGAAAAAAAAAGTCTCCATGGCAACGACACGGTGCCATCGTACCAACTGTCAAAATTTAAAGTCCCTGATAAAATGAAATGAAAACGCCATATAATTCGAAAATGCCAATGTTCACTCATTGCTGCACAGTGACAAGACATATAAACATCTTTCAAATCTGTCATTAGTAAAAGGTTCGCAGCAGAAAAGACAAAATAAATAGATTTTCGGGGGTTGGCAACAATTTTCTCGGCGTCTGCGCCCTTTCGAAAATCGCGAGGCTGAAAAAACGAGTAGTCGCGTATTGAAACTGCCCTCCATTGTTGCTGAGGTTGGATTGTTTGGCTTGCTTTTAAAGGCTGCGGTTCTCTTCTCATGTTTTCCTCAATTCTGTAACCAGCACGACGGTTGGTTTGACAAACTTTTTCAACTCGGGAGGGGTGGTTTCGGAACGCGGATGACTTTCGTTTGACGAACATGAGCACTGTAGATCGCGAGATAGACTGAGATGGTCATTGTGTAAACTGAATTACTTTTGGGGATGTAAAAATACCGGTAGGATTCAAAGTTACGTAAATAACGATAAAGTGAACGTAATTAACGTTTAGATGACAGATTTCAAATTCATTTCCACAACCGGAACACCGTGCAATGCGTAAGCATTGGAATTTTTGCCACTTTTACGGCAATATAATTGTTAATTTCAATTGTCAGTGACCTACTTGGGGGGGGGGGCGCTCAAATTTTAAAAAGTTGGCATTTGGCCGTTGCTGCATTTTTAGGAGCAACATTTTGGATAATGAAAGAAGGAGGTGTTAAGGTACAAAAACGCTATTTGAATAACTTTAAGCGCACTAGCAAAACAAAGGCATAAAAATCTAGCCCTTGGGAAGGAATTTTAGGCAAAATTGGTGCGGTGCATTGAGTGCACTGATTGCATTCACATACAGTTAACTTGTACTTTGTCTTTGAGATGCATCTATCACAAATCGCTTGACAGGGAAGCAAGAAAATACACTGGGACTTTACAGTAAAATAAACCCTGACAAAAAATACCTTAAATCAGGGATCCTTAACTTAACATTTAACTAACACTGCTTTCTTAACGTAACATAAGACAATGTTCACTAAAGGTTAAGGGTACGGACTTATGAAAGTACTTGCAAAAGTATATCCAAACAAATTCGAGACATAAAAAAATAACCTACCCTTTTGAAAAGATGTTAGAAGTTAAAGGTAATAACTTAAACTCTTATGATAACGTTATGATGCCCTTATGAGGTGAGTTAAGGATCCCTGCATTAAATCGGTCAAAAATAGATTTTAAAATACTAGTGCGCTCTCTCTGCGTAGCTTAAAACAGCGCTCCTGATGTCCAAAAGATGTGGTTTCAAAACATCTGCACAGGGTAAAAGAGAAGTTTCTCAAACTTTGACAATGTTATTCTCGGGACTATAAATCTTTACTTGACAAGACACCTTGGGCCAAATTCCTGAGCTGCAGCGAGGAGAATTCGCACAGATATTCCTACGACGGGTTACCGTACAATGCCGCACGTAGAGGGCTTTCGTGTCCACTCTAAACACCCTTGTTTCAAAATCACAAAAGAAGGTGCATTTTGGAGCAATTCATATGCGGATTCCGGGATTCACTACCTCCATGCACGTTCGGCGGAAAATATATTTTTAAATGCAATGTCCAAGGGGTACCTCAGCAGTACACCGTCAAAGGCTCGATTCGTATAAGAACAGGATTCGCTTTCAACAGCGACAACGTCGCAGCCATAACAACAGTTCTCATAAGTCTCACATACGTTGCCTCAGGAACAAATCAAACTTTTTATTTGACAGGGAGCAAGGCAGGAGAGAACATGGACGAGCCAATTTTTTACTAAAGTTGTGTCACGCGTCGGTGGTGCTTGTCCAGGTCCTGTAGGCCGCGTCCCCGTGCTCCTTGTTGCCGTCCTCGGCTGCTCCTTGGGCCTTCCCGCTCGTCGGCTCGTCTCGTAGGACCCTCTCGGCAGACACCCGCTTACTGCTCACTGTGGAGCAAAACGGCGTCACGTGACTTCGTTGTAAGTAAACGCGGATCCAGGCGGAGCGTGGGCCAGAGGACCACTGGAAGCGGCCGCTACAACTTAAGACGCGGGTTAAGCTCACCACAGTTAAATTCCTACAGAGAACTGCTCGTTGAAATACAAAGCAAACGACGGCTTCGCAGCTTACGAAGGAAATCGTTTGTAGTACAAACCATTTTGTTTGTAATACAAAGAAAAAATATTTTGCAGGCTGCGAATAAGTTCTTTGTACCGTACAAAGAATTTTACCTTTGAAATATCAACAAAATCGTTTGTATTGCAAACGACTTTCTTTGTAGGCTGCGAAACCTTCATTTTCTTTGTATACGCGCAGTTCTTTGTGGGGTTCTTAGTAAGCTCCAGAGTCGCCAAATGGGACTCGAACTAAACGTGTGACCCCACCAAGGGACTATGTATACTTCCCGAACGAGGAATCCGTTGGTGGGGTCGCACGCTCGGTTCTAGTTCTGCTACCTATACCGACTCGGAAGCTCAAAACGCGTCCGACATTTTGACCGCGACTACCGGTCTTCTGGCCTACTGTGGAGCCCCTGCACCGTGGCTTGTAAAGTAGAAGCGCAACTTACACTTGGAGAAGAAGATGGTCTGCAGGTTCAACATAGGGGCCTCGACGCAAAGGTACAGCAGCAGGCCGGCCGCGTAGGACATGGCAATGTCGGCCACGGTTTCACTAGCCTGCACAAAGAACAGCAGGACCCATTTCAAAAAGTCGTTTCATCGACCAGTTAAAGTAGTTCGTCTAAATTTGTTTTTGACGTCGAAAATCGCCGTCAGCAACGACTAGTCTCTGACTGCCCCCTTAACAGTGACAGGGTAACGGAGGCTACGGAGTCAAAATAGTACTATGCAGTTGAAAAAGTGTGTACTTGCTACGTGTGCATTTGAACGTACTAAGTAGATAGTAAGATTTGTCGTGGAGGAGACAAGGGTTTCAAACCCACAGCCTGCACCCTGCAAAGCCTACGAAGCATTTGCTACACACTAAATGTCATGGGACTTTTTTTGTCCCATGAATGATGCAATTTTAAGCACATCCGGTGGTGATGCAATTTTGTGTCCGCCAGGCGGAACAAATTGTCTAGTGAAATTACAATGTGCAGCAGGTGTCGGACAAAATGTGTCGCCACGGGAACAAAATTGTATCAGCGTCGGATGTGCTTCAAATTGCATAAATCGTGGGACATAAACAGTCCCTGGACATTTAGTGTGTACATAACTGCGAAGAAAATAAAAGTTATGTAGAATTGCTTCGTATTTTGAAGAAATGCTTCGTATTACGAAGGATTTTGCTTCATAATACGAAGCATTTCTTCGAAGATTTTTCATTTTCTTCGTATTACGAAGCGATTCTTCGAATTGACAGTGTGCTGCAGGGATTTCAAGTTTAACGGGCAGCAATTTGTCAGCAGCTCACCACGCTGAAGTCGCTGAGGTGGACTGGCTGGCGCATGGAGCCCATAGACACGATGATGATGGCGAGGTGCACCAAAAACACGGAGAAGGTGAGGCGGCCCAGCGCCACCAAAGGCGACCACGACAGGATGCTGTCGAACATGCCTGCACCAGCCAAACCGGGTTGGAGGTTGCAGTGCAGTGGCGAGGCAGAAACTAGTTAACAGTGTTGTGGCACAAGTCGGCCAACACTCCCTCGATGCAACAGAGACGTGGAAAGGTTGCCAACCTCAACTTGCCCACCACGTAATATCCACGCTTTGACCTCAAGAAGTTCACGGTAAAAACGTTTCCTATGGCTTTCCGAGGAAACCTGTGATAAAGACAAAGGGAATTTCCAGCGAGCTCCTGGAAAGAACAGCAACCGTTTTTACCGCGTTGACAAAGTTGTGGTTGGTTACTCTTGACTTTCTGGCGCAACGAGGGACGTTTTGCAACATTAACGCAACGCACAGTCGGTAAAACCATCTTCTGGAATTGACCAATATTCCTGAGAATCCCTAGAGCTGGGAATTTAGCGAAATTTCTGGGAATACCAGGAGAGAAATTTACCGTGATACGCCAAATACTTTTTCATTTCGCATCCCAGCCAATCATATGCTGAGGCATTTTTTTTTCTGTGTCGTTGAGACGAATCCACACTCAAAATGAAAGAGTCGCGATCAGGACTGAACTGTTGGGTGAAGAATTCTTTATCACCCTCATTTTGGTGAGGATTAGGTTTCCTCGCCCTAATTTGGGTGAGAAAAGTTTCCTCAGCCAAATTTGGGCGGTAATACAACATAGCCATTCACGAAGCTCATACGATGCACCTTTTCTCGCCCAAATTTGGGTGAGGGAGTCTTCCTCACCCAAAGTCGTGTAATGAAGCATACCTCGCCCAAAATTGGGTACTGATCAAGACTCTTTCATTCTTAGTGCAGTACCGTTTCTGTACGAAAACACCTTGGATCCATGTCCCTGTCTCTGTGATTCTCTGCCATTTCAAGTTGACTGTCGCTCTGACTCGCCTCCATAGCCCAAGCCGCAGGTGAAGATGATCCAGGCGGCGGGCAGGGAGAACCCCAGCAGCCGCGCAGGGCCGTAAGCCGCGTCCAGCAGTGGCCGCGCCTCGTACGAGGGCCGCACGAAGGGGAACGCGGAGATGAAGGCGGCGCCAAGGAGCAGCAGGCCCAGGGGGATCCCCAGCCACAGCCAGGTAGCCGTCCGCTACAGAGAGGGAGGAAAAGAATGAGAGAGAGAGAGAGGGAGAATGAAAGAATGAAAGAGAGAGAAGGAATAAGAGAGAGAAAAGAGAGAATGAGGCAGAGAGAAAGAAGCGAGGAAGAGAAAAAGAGATTTGCTTCATTCGTCTTCAAGGGTTTCCATGAAGTGCCACTGGTCATCGCGCAAGACCCACCTTGGAGGGTTGCCACTTGTTTCGGTCGGCCAGGTGGAACAGGGTGCCCGTGAGCAGGCCCACCACGTAGGGCACGGCGTTAGTGTGGGCGCGCACGTACTGGTAGACGAACGTGGGGTCCCACAGGAAGGCCTGTCGCGGCAGCATCCTGATCGAATCAGGACGGACATTGGCTTCATCATAAATTTGTGGTCGTCATAGTGCCGGCCTTCTGACCCACTGTGCAGCACGCAGCACTCACCGCGGGAACACGAGCAAGGTGGGCGCCAGCCCCAGTTGCACGGTGGTGGCGTAGAGCGCGACGGCGCAGGCGGCCAGCAGCAGCCCCAGCAGCAGGCAGCCCGGCCACAGCGCGCGCTGTGTCCACCTGCTCACCAGCCACATGAGGGGCGGCGTGAACAGGAACATCTGCAGGAGCGTGGCGGTGAACCAGGTCTGCGCCATACACTGCAGCAGGGCAAGGAGGGCAAATGAGCGCTCCAGCAACACCCTATCTTGTCAACGGAATAAGTTTTCAGTGTTCAGAGATGCGCAAATTTTGATCAGAATTTCAAACAGGTTTCTGACGTTCTGACAAAATTTACACGAGTACAGACAGTCCGTACTCACTCCCTTCCTGGAGCGTTCTAAGGGGGCATTCCAGAGCCGATTGACAGTGGTCGATGTTGACAGTGTGCTGCATGGATTTCAAGTTTAACGGGCACCTTTTTGTTTTTTGTAGATGCAAGGGAATTTTCGGCAGCAACCTCCTCGCCAGCCCTTCTTCCCCCGAGCCCGAGTTCCGTGGCGGCCTCAAGGACCTTGTTAACCCCCTCCCCCTCAGCCCCACCTGTATGGATTCCCTAATGTTTTTCCTTATCCTCGGCCCTACGGCGGCTTTGTGCCTCGCCCCTCTGCCAGAGCCCCATCACGCCCTACTCTTTCTACCATAGGACGGCAGCAAAGTCAAACAGCAACTCCTCCCCCTCCCCCATTTGCCAGTTCCCTCACAACTACCTCAGTGTCCTCATTGATCTCCCCTCCAAATCTGCTCCTGCCCAAGGCACTGCTACTGCTACATCAGCAAGTGTCTTGACTACTACGAAGTCTACCACATCCCAAATAACAGCAGTTTCCCCCCAGTCCACATCGGCTCCAGTCCAAGCCAAACCAGGAAGTGTCTCCACAACTTCAAAGACTTCTGCACTTTCTTGCTCCACTACACAACCCATGGAGTCCAGGGTGACAAGCACGTTCACAGGCTAGAACCAATGGAGCTCCGAGTTCTCCCATCATTATCGATGATGATTATGGCCCTCCCTCCCCTTCATCTCCATCAGATACTGAAACAGACTTTTGGTCTAGTTCAAGAAATAAGACATCTGGTCTGAAGAAGGATACGGCCAAAGGTTCAGGAGGTAATGCATGCCCTTGTTTTCGCCAGAAAAGCAGCAGTGGTGTACGTAAAACATTGACTTAATTTGACTGCTCTTCTCTTCCTTCACAGATTCAGAATATGACCCGGAGGAGGACCTTCTTGATATTTTTCCCAAGGACTCCAGATCAAGGAAA